AAACTATATATCTCCTCAAAGTTTCTTTATTTTTCTTGACAAAACATATCCATATAACAATTAAAACAATAAACAAAATAATCTATAGGAAGAGGTGAAAAAAACAACATACAAAGACCACATAATTCATGATTAAATCTAAAATAATGAAGAGTGTGTTTGACCAAATTGACAGAAAAAAAAAACAAAAAAAACTGTTTCAACTTTAGTCTTTTTTAAGCATGAGGGGGAAAAAAGAACAAAAGAAAATCTAAAATTTGACAAAAATCTGAATGGTAGTTGGCAACCTCAGCTTCAGCGTTACATAAATAAAGCAGATTCTGAGCTTTAAGCCAAAAAAAGTTTTATGTATAAAGTAGCTATAAACTGAGGCAATGCTCCGATCAATTATGAGTAAACCACCATAAAAGTCTTGTGTCCACTCTTATGAAAGTTGTATGATGCACTAACAGTTTTGTTACGATTCATTTACAATGTATTTTACAGCGTAGCGTAATAAGCCATACTTCCATCCATTCTGAAAATGTATTCCCTTAATCAACCTAAAATAAAACTACTTTAAAACAAGTTATTTTTCAAAAAACAGCAAAGCTTCAGAATTTCCAACTAGCAGCAAACAAGCCAGCAGATTAAAAAGTAAGAACTTACTTATCTGTGAGTGGATCTGATGGAAGCTCATAAATAAACTACAGCTTCGCAGAACAACACTGCCGATAGGAAACACATTTCAACACTAGACTATCTGTCATTCACAACTCTTTTAAACAACAACAACAGAAACATGCAAAGAGCTACACATCTTAATATCAATGCAGCCATCTTCCAGTAACTGGATGATTTATAGCTGAGATAATTGTCTCCATAGTGAGCAGTGATCGCCCACATGTGATGCTGGTACACAGTAGGTGGGAGGTGAAAACACGCTCCGAGACTCGAAGCCTTGTAGTCCATCTTTTCCATAACGGCAAAACATTAGCTACTCGGTCAACAAGAGTTTATGCATTTTTTTCCATGGGACTAATGGGAAAAAAAAAAAAATTTGTTTAATTTTATAATTTTTATTGATGCTAATGCATTCATAAGTGAAGAGAATGTTTTGGGAAGAATGTCGGCTTTAAAATAAATTTTTGTACTTATTTGTGTATATTGAAATAGTCTTGTTTAAGCAGGAGCCCTGTCTACTTTTACAATACATCAGCTCTTGATTTGCAACTTTTTAAAACTTTTATTACAAGGCAACAAAAAGCAGAGAAAAAACATGAGCAAAGCTGAATGAAAGTGGGAGGCCATGCACGAGGTGTCCAGACACAGGAAATCCCTTTATAATTATAATTAAGGGTCAAACAAAAGAAAACAAAAAAACTGAGGAGCCAATGGGCACAGATGAAATAAGAGAAAATAAGAAATAAATATTTACAGGTAAATTACTGACAGTTTTTTCCTAATAAAAAGTTGAACCTCGTTTGTTCTGAAGTATACATTTAAGGGATAACAGACAAAATTCACTTTTTTAGACCTTAAATACATGTTGTTTTGTAGCTGGAGTTTTTTGGAGGGCATAAAAATAAAATTTAGTCTCTTAAGGTGCTTGTTATATACAGTATCTGTATACTCTGCTTAGGTCGTGCTTCTCAATCTGTTCCCCAAAAAATCTTATGTCCTGTCAAATGAGTTGTTTTTAAACACATTAAATCTGTGTAACTGAAACGTGGAATTCAGTCAAAGTAAAGCTTTAAAGATTTAGGTTGAAAATAAAGTACATAAAAAGTCTAAAGTAGTTAAATAGAAAGTGAAACCTAAGGTTTTATATTTGGCTGAAGTGGCTATTATCAATGATAAGCTGCATATTATCAGCCATAAAAAACCTACTAGAAGGTAGAGTTTGTGCGGTATGAAGCCATTATATTGGACTGATGATTGCTAATAATGGCCATTTAATGCTTGATCACATCAGGAATGGGCGATAACACAATTTTGGAGGATATATTTCCATTTTCCCCATGAGGCTCACTTCAATAAGTTTAGATTCAGTCTCTAATGACCACAGCTCTTTCTTCCACATCTTTTCTACGCCTCCTATCAACCTCCAAACCAGACTGACATCTTATGACTTTCTTCCTACATTCTTCCATAAAGATCAAATTTGTTGAGTCCACCTTATCTGTGGATCCCTGCAGTTCCAGCAAACTTCACTGGGCCTGTTGGCTACTTCACCAATTTCTGTTCTTCAAGCCCAGGATGTCAATTTTAGCTGGATGCACATTTGGATTGCCGTTTTGCCCTGCCCTTTCCTTTTTCAGACATTAGACTGAATCATGCAAAGCATGTGATATTGTTATGTAACCTAAACCTGCTTTAAACTTTCTGCAAACTGCCTGCTTTGTGTCTTTTTTGGGTCTTTGAGAAATTGTTTGTTCTTAGATCATAGTATGCATTAATGTGGGCATGTGGCACGGGCACAAGTGGACACTATTTGCTCTCAAGATAAGCTCTGGAGGGAATTTGTTGTGGTGACTTTATTATGCATGCCAAACTCATATTATAACACTATGTTCATAGAATTGTCCATGCAATTATTTGAGCACGTTGTGACAAATATGAAAACATTCAAGTAGTATTTTTCAATGCACTGTAGATTAATAACACTCAATGAATCTGATCATTTCCATGCTAGTCTGAATTTTTTTTAATTCTTCAGGCCAAACAGGGAGGAAAATCTGATTTTGCTTGGTCCAACTGCTTGGCTGGCGGACCTAACTGTGGCTTCATCACAAGGGAGCAAGTTAAGCTGCAGCTTCAAGGGCCAAGAAGCAACAAGCTCTAACTGCTGTGTGTACTTTCAGATAAACAGCCCATGATCCCCCCTATCTGGAGAGCACAGGAACACATCCATGTCTTTGTGATTTTTACTGGTTCGCCAATGAGTGTGCCCTCAATATGTTAACAAATCTCAAAGCTTGTTTCCACAAAGCACTAAAAAACATTGAAGATTAATAAAAGAAGGCATTCATTCCTACCCCGCACTTGTTTGCATGCTTGTGCACAGCAAAAATGTCATGCCACCCTCTAGTATGGTCAGCCAAGAAGAAAACAAAACACATGCCTTTGATTTCTGCAACAATGGAAACTGCTTAGATATTTCTGATATGCTACTAGACTGTGAAAGCAGTTAGAACACCATGTAAAGCATTAGCAAAACTGCTAATGTACAAGAGAGGGAAAGACATGCTTGGAAAATAAATGAACGCAGTTGAGGGAAAATATAATTTCCACTTCACATCAATATATCAAAATCTATTACCATGATTGAAACAGCTCACATTACCAGGAAATTTGTGTAATGGGACGGTAGCATAATGTGTTACAAATACAAGACAAGAGACATATTCTTTTGTTTTGTTTTTTTGTTTTTTTTTAACTGAGAGCAGATCTTAGTCGGAAAAATTTTAGTTCTCTCTTTAAATCGACCAGTAGACCTTAAAGTGGTCTCTTCATGTGCACCTAAAATAGAAAAGACTGTACTTGTGGTGTCACAGGATGCGTCTAACCACAGGTAGACAAGGCATTCAAACACACTGATAAGTGCTTCTGAAAAGGGCTGCATTATATTCAGAAAATATTCAATTCTAAAAGTTCTGCTGAAAAGTTTGACAATAACAATTTGGTTAACCAAAGTTTTGAGGGTGTTTTTTCTGGGCATTAAGGAGAGGTAGCAGGTATCTTCAAGCCTGACTCTCATATATGGAGGGTCCTGTTGTAAGTAAGGTATTTAGAAACACCTAAAAATGCACAACGATGTTCTTAAAGACCACTGATAAACAGTATTTTACTTACATTTTTTGAAGTGTCTTTTCTTTTAAAAATGTAATGAAAAGACGCTTCAAAAATGCCATATCAGGGTCAATCTTTTCAAATCTGATTTTGTGAATATCAGAACTATACTCTATTTTGTGAGAAGAATAATCAAATTCACTGAGGAGGGGCTTATAGCGTACCATAGCTAAGCATATAAATTGAGTTGTGTTTAACTGCATTTTGCAAATAATTATTCTTTTCTTTTTTTTTTCATCAAAAAGATGCTGCTGGAAACAATAATGTCTCTTTGCATCTAAATGCTTGATCAGCACATTAATGGACAGGACATGGTGTTGGCAATTTGTTCCTAAGCTATAATCCCATTAAATCTTTAGCTGAATTTTTTAAAAACGCCAAAAAATGTCTGAGACACAACACACATTTCAGGCACAATTGACACAATATTATTGAGAAAGAAAAGACAAAAAAATGAATATTTCAATAACCCACTTGCCTAAATGTACACATGGTGAACCTTTTCAGCATCAAGTATTCTCCAGTTCACAAATACTGAAATATGTGATTGTGGTCTTAGTTTCAGTTGTAAGCCATAGTTTGCAGATAGATAACAAAGGATCAAAAGAAAATGTATTTTATTGTTGAAGGTTTCGTCAGGAGAAGGTTATAAAATGAAATCCACCACGCTTATTCATGCAACATGGCACAGAGGAGACATAAACCGATAAGTGGTTAAAGCATGGGTCAACTTGATCAAAAGATAGGACTAAAATTGGTCATGAAAGCTATGATTGTAAAATGAATTGACACCTTGATAAAATTGATTTTGAAAATAATAATTAATGAAAGATCAATATAAACTGACTAATCATTTCCTCAAACTTCACACTATATACAGCTGTAGCTCAGCAATAACAGGCTTAGTCCCTCTGCTCTCTGCAGCTTCACCAGACCATAATAATGCAAGAAGTTGTAAAGACGGCATATTGAGTAAAGGTGTGACTTGGCATGAATTTGGTGATACGAAACGTATAACGACACATTTGTCATGACACATTTTTTTTCCTGAAATATATACAAAGAATTGTACGATTTTTAGAATAATATAGCTCTGAAAACTTCATGAGATCTTATTGTTGCTCCGCTTCAACTGGTGCACAGCAGCAAAATTATAGCTTCTTGGGCAATGTGCTGCAACTAGTGGCTGGGAGTTTTGGAGTTATATAAAAGTAAGACAATTAAACGGATGTTTGCCTATAAAATATATATTTAAAGAGGAATTATGACATTTTCGTATAATACTGCCATCTATGGCCAAAACCCAGAACTGGAGCATTCTTCTGGTTATTATCATAGCTCAGACTTAGCAGTAATTTTTTGTTTTGTTTTACTTTTTTCACCTTACCCGAAGTTGCCATTGTTGCCTGATTTGAGCTGGATGCCGGTCTCTTATGGGTATCCAGAAAATCCATCTTGAATATAATGCTACGATTGTGTGATAGGTCGGAACGATTTAACATTAAGGAAAATAGGCTACAGGATTCTAGATGCATCGGCACTGAACTACTGAGGAGTCAGTCTGCTCATCAAATGGTGTGTTAGTTATTAAGGGTAAAATAAAAAAAGCCATTTTAAAGATATTTTTCTGTAAAAACTGTCAAACATTAATGTTTGGATAGCTGTATTTTGAATAAATACTGTACCAACATCCTCAAATAAAGTATTGTGATTGGAATTCAAATAAAATTTTACCAAATGAATTATTGTGATATTTAGAAGATTTTTTTTTTTTTGCACCCAAAATATTGAGTAAAAACAGATACAACTAACAAACTTTACTATTGATAAGACAAGGACAATGATTCATCAAGTTATTGCTACATCGCCGTTTTTTTGGAGGAGCATTAAAGGATCAGAAAAATAAATCTGTGGTTTCTAGCACAGCAAAGCAGTAAACTCTTC